CTGCAGGCTCTCTGCAGCCTTTTCCAGTCTGCTTGATGAGTCCCTCCAGACATGGCAGCAGGTTGCCTTCAGATGTCCCTTGTCAGACCTCTGCATGAAGAAGCCAGCAGTTCTCTTTATACTTTTCATTTTCACTTTATGGCTCTCCTTCCCACCCATTTCCATCCATGCCAATGGACCCATCTCCATTTTGCCCCAGGTGATGTCCGAGTTAAATCCTATCTTGCTGTGTAGGGTTTATAAATCCATTATGAGGTAACTATCTCAATCGTTCTGACACAGTCCCAGTTTTCGTCTTCTAAAGTACTTTATGACCTGTAAAAGATAGAGGTGCCAGACAAGCTCCCAAAGACAGAGGGGTGCAAGAATTCCTGTAAGGTACCATGGAGCAACTTTGCTCGGGAGGACATGAAATCTGAAAAAGACAAGATTTTTTTGAAATGTTAGAGACCCTACACGGCTCAGAGCGAGTCAGGACTCCTGCATCTTCCTTTGACTTTCCCTTTACAACTTCTATATGATTTTGCACAAGTGCTTTTGTCTGTGCTCTGTTTTGTTTTCATGATCAAAACCAGTCTCTCTGTGTCAAAACACAGGAGGGTTTTTAGCATCTTCTTATCACATGGCAGGTCTCTGGACAGCTCAGGCAAAATATACAAAGCATCCTCAGGTGCGGCAAAGTTCTCTGGCAGTTTAAAATGGGGAAAAGTGAGGAAGTGTAAATGATACAGCTCCTCTGCCTTCTACTTGCCATCACTAACATGACTACATTGGAGTACAGGCAGTGTAAAGCACCATGAAGGGCATGTCACCTTTCAGGGCTGGAGAGAAAGGGAGTGAGAACTAGGTTTCCTCTCACTGTAAAGCTTTCATTGAGATGATAGTGATCCTGCTTGGAAAGGCTCAGTATTATCTCTGCTCTAATGACAGCAGTAGGCTCAAATTTATTAGGAGCTCTGACCTTGCTTGGCTAGCTGGTGGCAAAAGGCATATTTTTTTGAATACTCCTATCTTGCAAAACATACAAGGTCTTAGAAGCTTGAAAAGAGATTAGCTAAAGCAGAACCTTAAATCCTGACACCCTGGAAAAAAGGCTCACTGAAGCATTTGGATCAGCGGTGGCTGGGGACCTCTTTTACCGTGTGAGCTTAGAAAGGACAATGAAGGTGAGAATGGCAGTGTGGATCATGGCTGCAGCAGCCAGGAGGGAGGATCAGTAAGTGCATATCCCTAAATTAACATGTAAGTCAGAAGAAAAATCATCAAGAATGAGATTCTTATTTACCTCCGCCTAGAATTTCTGCAAGCCCAAAGTGAATAACTGAGATTGTACTGTCACTGGCTACCTACCCTCACAAAATTCAAAGAAACTATGTAAAATCCTACTTCAATGCATGTCAGGAGTGGGTTTGCAACCTAATTCCCTGGAGCCAGGATTTTGCTCAATGAATGTACCCCAAAGAGCCTAGAATGGTGGATAAAGCCACAGGAAGCTTTTCCATTAATTCTCTCCTTGTTCACCTGAAGTTTTGGAACCAGTTCTGGAGGTTGTTTGAATGACGTGAGGGCCTGCCCAGGTGGATGGGCATTGAGCCTTATCAGCTCATTTCTCAGAGAGCTTTCGGGTGGATCGTGGGATGGTTCATCAGGGAAGAGATGATTTCTAGAGGCAGGATGGTTAAGGAGTCAGAGTTAGGAGGCTGAGTTTACAATCTGCTTATATCAGAGAGTAAGAGGTGCCAGCTTTGCCAGTGAATGAGCTGAAGGGCAAACGTCCCTGGACACAGTGCTGACCATATCACTATCTTGCATGGTGCTGGTCATGGAAAGAAATGTGTTGCAACCACAGGCAGCTAAGTAGGATCAGGAAGAGTTTGGGCTACCCAGAAAGATAGCATGAGGTGTTTGCAGTGAACCTGTGAATAAAACCCCCAAAATTTCACAAGAAACTCTTTGTCCTCCTCATCATCCCCTCCTATGGGGAAGTGCTATTGCTCTTACCTTACCTGGGAGGATCTGACACACAGAGAAACCTGCCAGAGTCCTGTAGAACAGAGCTTCAACAAAACCCAGGTTCCACAAATCCATGAAGTCTAGTCACCATCCTTTTTTTGACAAAATTCCCGATCTAAAGCATCATCTGAACATGGAGGGACAGCTTTGAACTGCCAAGATTTGCTCCTAGGGTCAAGATTTTCACGTTTCAATGTGCTGCTATTGGGACCCAGGGAGAGGATGAAGAAAAAGACACATTACTTACAGCCTTTGTCAGAGTCCCAGCTTTGCTACTGGCATCCTATAGCCCTCCAAAGAAAAAAGCAGCTCCCTTCAGACTTGAGTATTTAACAGCTGTTCTGAATATGCCAAAACATGTGAATCCAGGGTTTCAGATCTGTGTCAGCTGGGTTACAAGGACATCTGTTTTGACTAAAGTTCATTAGAATTATGAAATTCAGGTGATTAAGGCACTTATTCAGATTTTGAGAAATTCATTCTGACTGTCTCCACAGGTTCATCCCTAAGTCAAACACAAAAATTCTAACTCCTGGGAAGCATACACCTATTTAAACCCCTTACGATGTAGTGAGAAAGGTATCTGGATTTTCAAATAAATGCAACTAGAGCTAGAAGATCACAGAAAACATCCACTACTTAGCACTAACAGTCCCACTGAGCGTTTGAGGGGAGAGACAAAGAGATGGACTCTCAAGTGACCATGACACACAGTGTTAATCTGCTGGAGGAATTCCCTTTGGAGCAGAGGTGAAGCCTAACAGCCACGGATCTTTGCTACTCATGCCATAGACACATAAAATAGATAGGTCTGGGGCTAACCAGGTAACATTTTTTTGTGAATAAAAAGCCTTTTTCTTCCTTTTTTGATAGAAAAAAAGAGGAGAAAATGAAAATTGGATTGTATCTATTTTTAAGCAGATTAAAAAGTTAATCAGATTAGAGAGAAAGCACCTCAAAAATAGCTTGAGGGATATGAAAGTGGAGCAATTGCTGAAGATCCTCAAGAATAAAAGGAGGGCAGGAGCCTGGGAAACCAATTTTGAAGTAGCTGTGAATGTTTCATTTTTACAGCCCTGTCTGCTGTGTGCCTGCTTTAAAACACACTCTGATGCCAGCAGTAGCCTGCTCCTGCAACCCACATCTATGAGGTCCTTCAAAGGACGAGCCTGGTGTTTGTCTGACCATCCCAGAAGCTCAGTTGCGCATTTTACAGCCTAAACATCCAGCAAAAACCTAGCCAGCCACTGCCACCCACTGTGACACAAGTCTTGCGTCTCCCACTAAAAGCCATCGGATGTTTCTGGGTTTGTCACATCTTCCTCTAGAAATGGCCACCCCTGAAGGGTGCCTCAGTAGGGAGTGAATTTCTGAGGCTGTCTTGTTCTGGCTTCTACCCAGATTACAGATGCTTCATCCTTAGGACACCAAGTTGCAGGAAATCATTGAACTTCTGAAAAGGCAAATCTAGACACTAAGAGAAGGCTTTGGAAATAAGATGGACGTGGCAACTGTTGCCCACAGAGTTTCAGTCAGCACGTCACAGGCTGTTCAGGTTGGAAGTAAAAGCTCAGGGGCACGTGTTCTCCTAAGTCACCCAGGGGATGGGTATAATTAATAAGCAACACTTGTCTTTTGCCCTGAACATTGGAATATCCCAGCCATACAATGGGAACAGCTGGCTGGGGAGAGAGTCACATGCCTCAGCAAGGGACATCACCTCTTCCCCAGCATGGATGGAGCAAGGCTGTGATGGAGCAACACGCAAGGAGGAGGCCTGATGAGGCCGCATGGCTGCACATCACTTTGGCAGGGAGGGGGGAGACGTCTGCCCTCTGTCAAGCTCTTCTCTGGCAGCCCCTCAGCGTGCCTTCTCCAGTGGATCCACGTCAGCCCCGGCGCTGGCCCGTGGCCAGCTGGCCTGCCTCCACCTGCCTGTCGCTGCCAGTCATGGGGCAGCGGTGGCAACCTGGTCAGAGTTAGGGAGGAGGAGAAGGACTGTGCCATTGAACCATTCTCCCCCAGCAGCGTGGTGCAGGAGATGCAGGAAAGCAGCAGCAGGCGCTGAGCTCCTGGCGAAGGTGAGGGAACTCACCACTCTTCCCAGGAGGAGGAAGGAATAAGTGAGACCGTTTGCTGGGAAGTGCAACACGTTGTGTGAAAAAAACCCTCATGCAGGTCACATGGGTTGGGAGGCCAGCAGCAATAGTGGCATTTATCCATCATCTTGAGGACATCAGCATGAGCACACGCCTCCTGCCCTTCATCTCCCTTAGCGTGATGAGGTTTTACCCGCTTGCCAGCAATGCCTGGAGTTTAGTAACCGCTGTGGGCACGGGAGGTTGCAACGTAGGCTGCCCTTTGCTTTGGAATTACAGGTCCAAGGGCCAGAGATTACCCTGGTACCCCACAAGCAGAGAAGGTGCTTCACAAAAGACCTTGAATGTCAGCCAGCAGCTCCAGCCAATGCCCCAGGTGGGAGGAGAAAAGGGTCCCATGAGTGCTCACCTCCTTTGCTGCTGAGGAAACAGGACTTTTCCTCTAGCAGTGCAGATGAGGCGCTGAAACTGTTTGACCCAAGATCTGTTATCCGAAGCCTAATCACTGTGATGCCCAAGGGGTTACAAAGAGAGATACCCTTATTAAAAACCTCAGTAAATACCTTCTATTTTTGGTAAGTCCTAGTAGGACAGGCTGTGCCTCGGTTCTCTGTATAAGTGAAGTCTGTCCCTTCACAAATCCTGCCTGCATATACCCAGCATCGAGATCTTCCACTCCCTCCCTCTCACTCACTCCCTCTCTCTCAGATGATGCAGAGTGCCAGCAAGTCCCTCAATGGTGTCATATCTGTCCTTTTTATTCATTGCAGGGTTTATTTTTAGCCTGAAACAACTGCTTCCTAAAAATGGAGTTCCTAATGACACGGGAGCTGGACACAGCTATGTAAGGTATCCAGGGCTTGGCCTGACAGCTTCTCCTGTCTGTCTCTTTGTTGTGAGCCCAGGACAGCAAAGTTTGCTGCACCCCATCAGCCTTGCAGCGTTTGGGCTGATCACTAGGAAGGCAGCAGAAAGAGAAATTTGGTTCAGACTTCACCAGGAGCCTTTGGTCTCTCCCTCTTCCTACATTAAGTAGGAGAGGGACATTTACCTGCCCTCTGTTACACTCCAAGGGCTCCCTGATGAAGGTGACTTGCTGGATCCTGGCAGGTTTTTACCTGCTTTACTGCTGCAAAGCAGAAGAGGGACTGAATTTCCCCACTTACGATGGGAAAGACCGGGTGATCGACCTGAATGAGAAGAACTACAAGCAGGCCCTGAAAAAGTACGACATGCTCTGCCTGCTTTTCCATGAACCCGTGAGCTCTGACAAGGTCTCCCAGAAGCAGTTCCAGATGACAGAGATGGTCCTAGAGGTAAGCACCACCGCATGTCCCAGCCAGGATCAATATCATGGTGATATTTGGGGCTGTGGAGAGGAGCCATGGGACAGTCAAAGGGTCTCATGCAGGGGGTGGGCTGAGCACCCAAAAGTTTAGGTTTGCTTACTTGGATTTGAATTAGCCCCTGAGTTTTGCAAAGCCCTGGAAAAAGCCTCTGCTGAGTTCTTCTGAGTTGTTTGCTGGGAAATAGTCTTTCTGGATTGTGGGTCAGAAACCCAGGCAATAACAAGTAACCTTGCAAACCTGAGCAATGTGGTTTGCTTTGCCAAATCTCAGCACAGACCTGAGTTTGTAGCTTGAAATTTTTAGATCTTTTCTCACTCTGTGCAAGCCTGTATCCCCCTTGTGTTCTGGATTCAGTCCCGTTTTCTATTCCACTAGGAGTAATCAGCCAAGAAGCCTGACTAGACTGTGCTGCAAACAGGCGTCCTAGCTCTCTATCTCAAAAGCTCCCTATTGGTGCAGCGTGAAATCCCTTTTTTTTTTCTGACATTTGGTTGCCTGCTTGGAATCAGTCTATAGCTCCTTGTTAATGCAACTATTCACTTCTGAGCTGGAAAAAAAAAAAGTGTTATTAATTCTTTGGTGAAAGAGTGATTAATTAATCTTCAGTAAAATACATCATGGTAAAAATTGTGAAGTAGATTCATAGCATTCTTTCTTGTAGTGTAAAGGTAATCTAGGGAATCATACAGCTGCAAGCCTGGATTGTTAGGTGCTTGCTTCCTACCAGGGGCTTAGAAATATTCCCTTTTATCTAAAGGACATGTCTGGAAATGAAGTGAGAATGGCAGAAGAAACACATAAGCTTTATTTATCAGATCCAGAGAGAAAATGCATTGCACTCCTAGGTGTACAGCAAATGTGAATTAGAAAATACACTTGCTGAGGCTAGGAACTGAAAAAGTCTAAGGTCAAGTTCAAAGCCTACTGACCTCCTCAGCAAGCCTGACAGCAAGAAAGATTCAAAAGCTAAACAAGTTTTACTCACTTGTCAAGAAACAGTTACTTGCTTCAGGTGAGCAATAAAATAACATTTGACAAAGAAAAGAAAAAATAGTGCTGGAACTCCAGTTGAAATGTTTATGGTTGGTGGTATGACTTTGCATTGTTATTTAATAGGATAGCTATTTTGTGCTCAATAGATGGCAAGCAGTTGCTAAATACATATTTATAGAAACCTGACAGAAGCAGGTATCTGTGGTGTACTGTCAGTTTTAATCCCCATGACACCTAGACCATATTGAGGGTGAGATGGCTACGAAACAATATGACTTAAAGCTTTTATTTTGCAGGGTTTGATTTGGCAGTAAGCATGTTAGCTTAGGATGCTGGTGATTTGGTTTCCAGTTGCCTCTCTGGCATAGATTTCTTGAGTGACCTTGGGCAAGAGATTGAGGATTAGGTCTGCAGCACGCTTTACATAATTGTAGTGCTCCAGCCCACTAATGTTCAGCTACCAGCTAACTGTGCCACGCAGCAACCAGCACTTGTGGCTTTGACCTCAGAATTTCCCGAGCACTTGCAACGCTGATTCAGTGCATGTCTCCAAGTTTCACAGTCCCCTCTCTGCCACCCCAGACTGGGAACTGCAGTAGCCGCAGTCTGACAACATGAGCACAGGAGGAATCTGCAGTGTGAGTGCTCCTTTGCCTCTGTCACCTGAGGGAAGTGAATGGGGAGAGGGTCTCAGAAGGCAACAGAGAAGATAGACGTGTCTTACCCTGCATAGGACAGAGCCTAGCAAGGTGCTATTGCTCCCAGTTTCTGTATTAATTCACCCATAGGAGGACTTGTGAAAGGAGTGGGCAAGCCAGGTTGTAATCTGGTCCCTTTTGTGACAGCATTCACCTCCCTCACCTCAAACCATAAAGTGTTGTGCCAAGGTGGTGGGTCACTCTGAATCTCCCTTGCCAGAGCTCGTCCATCTCTGCGATTTCACTGCATGTTCATCAGGACAGGCAGAGGGAAAGAAATGTCTACAGTGGTTCTGTGGCTGAGGTGTGGAGCTGTTCACCTGAGAGATGAACTGTCTGGAATCGGTCTCCCTGGAGGCAGTCAGCAGCTGAACTCAGCTCTTCTGTAATTTGAGCAAGTACTTGAACTCATGAGCTGCTGGGTAGGCACAGGAGCGGTGACAGGGCCTCTCCTTCCAGCCAAACCTGGGAAAAGTTCACTCAGGAAGGCTTTATGTATCTGATTTCAGTAGCGAGTTCAGGGCTCTGAGTGCTGAAGGTCCTTTACATGTGAAATAAGGTATCTAAGAGGCAAACACTCCAGCCCTTAGTGTTCCCTGCTAGCCACCTTGAGGGTTGCCTGGTGTAGGGTGCTGCCTGTGGTAAGATGCCTTTCTGGAGCATCTCATGTTTTTCCATCTTACTGTACTGAGAATTTACCTACTGACTTAAAACAATAGGTGTAATCAAGGAAACAATGATGTCCTTATCCTCCTGTCCATAAAATGGTACTGGTCTCCATTACTAGGAATAATGGGGAGCCTTCATTCATAGCCTTCATCCAGAGTACAAGAAGGTGTGGAACTAAGCAAAGATCTGAGCTGTGTGGCTAAGGGTTGTTGGGTTGTTACTTCCTATTGCCTGATGAACATGACTGTGCACATGAGAGGGAATGGGTTTGATGGATGTTAAGTCCAGAAAAAAACCCAAATAGTCTATCCTTTCTGTTCCTCTCACATGTACCTTACAAGAAATTTATAATTCCGAAGACCTGAAGAACAAGAAAAGAGCTAGAGAGATCCAATGCCTGAGTTCCTGCAAATTTACTAGGAGAAGCTCCCAGATGTGCCCAGGTAGTGGAGGACATGGCAAGTTGCTGAGGCAAGGAAAAGTGCCAGCAGTGCTGACTAGTTCCTTCTTGACTCCAGATCCAGGCACCAGTTTAGGCTTCAGCATTTGGAAAAAATCCACAGCTACAGAGCACCCAAGAAGGGCAAGATGGTTGTAGACAAACACTCCTCAACCTAGAAATATCCCTTGACCGTGACCATGGTTTCCTTGAAATATGTAGCTCATGGTCAGTAACAAACTCAGACCAGGGCTTGTCCCATGGGTAGGGAGCCCATGAGGCTCTCTCTTACCTGGGTACTTCTTTCAGACAGCTTCAGTCTCTTCTCTTCCAAGTCCTTGCTCTTTGTGAAACTTGCAATAACGTTCTTATGCTGAGATTCTTGCTGCTGGAAAATTTGGCTGAAAAGGACCAATAGCTAGAAAAATTATTAGGGGAGGCAGCTGACAGACAGACCTGAGGGGAGAGAGAAGAGAATCACATGGATCTCATATCCTTAGGAAATTAAGCTGAAAACCTGACAGCACACGAGTGAAGTTAAGCATATGTTTAAGGACTTTATCAAACCGTAATTACAAACAGTGGACTGAGGAAAAAGGGATGTGATAGAAAAAAATTTCCTTCCCAGGGCAAAAGCCCAGCATGCAGGACTGACTGACACTGCTGAAGCTCACCAGCTGTCACCATCATTAAGCTGAAATTACAGTGGGACAAGACACAGGGTCTTCAGCTTCCCACACCCAGCCATACTGGAAGCTGTGTCCGGATTGCCACAAAGCCCAGTTTAGAAAGGGAATGAAGATGAAGATCATAATGAAGCGGCCCTGACAGCTCCTGCCACCCAGGCCACTGGGTGATACCTGATGAGGGTGGGGTCTGTGGGTAACTTAACCCCTCTGGGAGCAAAACCAGCTTTTTTGGACCATGTTTTGTGCATGACGACAGTTCTAAGGACCGTAACACCAGCCCCTCAGGTTGGGTGAGAAAGCTGGGGACTCCTGGGTTAGTCTGTCAGGAAAATAGTCAAAGAAATGATTGAAGATGCAGCTGCCTACTGCTTTCTGGCTGAAAAAAAGGTTGGGGAAGGATTGTTATAAGACAACCCAAGGCCAAGACAGCATAAGCACAGGGTGTTTCACAGCTCAGGTTAAAGAGCTCTTCTCCTTTACTTGTCTTTCTTCTATGGCTCCACTCTGCACCACTAACTAATGAAAAACACCTGCAGCTTGAGTGGGGAAAAAGTGTCCACACAGGGCAAAGCAGGGGTTGAGCCAGGCAGTCCTGGAGCTAACAGTAACTATTCCTGCTCTGTGGTGAAGTTTTCAAGAGCCTTGCATGCCCCACAAGGTGACCACAGTGAAGAACCGTATGTAACAGCCAGGCACAAAGGTTTAGAACAATTATTTAAAAGACAATTAAGAAGAAAAGCTACTTGTCCTAAAAGGCCTCAGCTTTAGTGAAGAAGGGGCAAAAGAGAAAAAGACCAAAGCAGTGATGTTGAGAAATCTCCGACCTGCTTTTCTTCTCTGTAGCTCCCTAACATATTTCATGCCATCTCATACCACTTCTTCTTAGAGCTTCTCCTATCTCCCTCTCATCTCTGAATCTCCTAAATATTGGGATAATTTTGCCTTCCAGTGGGCCAGTCCATATCTCTAGGAATCATGTAGCAAGAATAATGAGCAGTGGGATTAGGGGCTTTCCTTTTGCACTTGAGAAGCTCTCTCCAGCAACTGAGGTTGTCTTACTACCACAGCACGCTGCCTGCTGAAACTCGCTCAGTTCTGCCTCCACTGCCATCTGTATGAATGTGTAATACCCTTAAAAAACAGAGGTTGGTCAAGGCCTCGGTTTTTTAGGCCCTTGAATGCAGCAGTGTTCCTCAGCTGAAGATTCATGGAGAACTGCACTAGCCCAAACCAATCTGATCAGAGATAAGAGAAGAGGAACATGGTACTCTGCTTTCTAGGTGAGGTCTAGAATCAGCCTGGTCTCTAGCAGTACAAGGCAGAACAAAGGCAGAACATTTCTGGCTCATTCTGTAACATAAGGGAAAATTTCTCCTACAAACTTGGGACTATGAGTGCATGAGATTGCATTGCATTAGATCCTCCCCATGCTCAACTGCAGCCAGTAGCTACCTGTGATGTGAGAGGGAAAGATAGATT